AGAAGAAAAAAAGCAACAGCAAAATCACAATCATTTTGAAAAAGGCCTTGGCAAACCAATTGTTTATTATTAAAAAAAAAAGCAACTGAGCTTGACTTGAGAGATTTTTCTTTTAGTACCCAATTTAGCTATAGCACATGGCTGGGAAAGTTTTCTCTAGACAATCAGTGATAACTTAGGACTGAAGCAACATTTGAAGAAATATTTGCTACTATATGGTAAAACATGTCCACCCCCTAGATTTAGAAAGAATTTGATTTTAAGAAAACAAGTCAAAAGATTAATTAGGTGATAAGACCTATAGGCAAAGTAAACACCTTTACCACTGAAATATGACAGCAAAGAAAATATTTGCTGCTTTCTTTTTATTTGAGAGAAAATTGCTCTTTATATCTACAAATAGAGAACACTCAACAGTTTCAATGAAAAAGACAATCTGTGGATGATTTGAAATGTGCTTACTGAGTGTGTACTGTTCTAATATGATAGTCTTATAGCAATGAATTATCAAATGTGAAATAGTACAATTTTGAAAATCTTGTAAAAACTGATACAAAATTCATTACTCTTAATAATTTCATTATAGTCCTAATCACTTAATACAGAAAGCCAGTTCAGTACTACTAATAATAGTCTTACTTGATATTAGCCATTCAACTGTGTGAAATACTGAAGATGTCTGACTAGGCCATCTTTCCTAGAAACCGAAAATGTATCAATGATGTGATTAAGTAACATTAACAAGAAGCCCAACAAAATTAAAAAGAGCAAGCAGGTATGCATCGAATGGTCTGAAGATTATTCTGAACCATGATAGATTTCAGCAGGACAGGTAGATGCTGAAATATGTGTCATTATATCACAGCAAACTCCACAAGCCCAAAAGATCAGGGATTGCATCGTTTTTTTAAAAAAAATTTATTTTTCCAAACTCTCCCCCATACATATACTGTGATATTTATCAGATGTTAACATACATTCTTTTTACATTCATATATAAGATACTTTTGATGAAATGAAATAAATACATACACATGACTTTTGGTATTACTCGCCCATTTCCCCTTTCACTGTATCCAGACTCCTTCTTCTCTACCTTCTTTCTCCCTTTCTTCTCTTCTCCAGGGATTGCATCCGGATGTCACAGTCCACATTTTGGGATGGTTGCATTCTTGTAGTTTGCCCCTGATGCCCAGGCTAGGTTAAGATATGATCCAAGTATGATAGAAACAATGTGATTCTTTCCAGGTCTATGCAGAGGTAGGTTTCAGCTTCCCAAAAAAGGATTTGCAGGATTAAATTATTAGCGATAATGTAGGCATGGTCAACATGTGATCCTTTGAAAGTTGTTTAGCTCCAGTTACCAACATTACACATACTTATCAAGGGGAAGGTTGGGAAGTTCCCAGCCTGCAAGGAGATGGGCTCAAGTGCAGAGTTAGCCTGGAGTCACTGCACAACTGCAAAAGGGCTAGGACCTCCCTCCCCCCCCCCCCAAGTTCCTTAAGGGCATCATCTATTTGTTCCCAAAAGCAGACTGCCAGACTGGGGAGATTCATAACTTATAGGCAGAACATAGTAAAGTAGTTAGCTTGAACTCTGCACATGTAAATCTGGTTGGTTGCACCTAATAAAGAAAGGATATAGAATTCTGTAATATCCAAGGGCTATCCATTGCTGTATAAGATGATAATATATTGTTTTATATTGTTTCCTTGTCTTTGGAGAAAGTAATGTTGGAACTAAAGGGGAACCAACGGTGCTTTCTCATGAGGCAATTGGGCTTTCTTGTTTTTCTTTGAAGACTGTTTTGTTTCTCATCCAAGAAGTTTCTTCAGCTCTCTTCAGCTTCTTGGATGAGAAGTGAGACATCTTCAGAGAAAAACAAGGAAGTCCAATTGCCTAGTGAAAAAGCATCTTTGGGACAACCATGACCTGGATGACTGAGAATCTTCATAGACAACTAAAGGGGAAAAATGTTGTATAAATTGATTGCATTTCTAATGCAATTAGAAATGGAATGTTCAGAACACTGATGGAATGTTTTAAAATTATGCACAATGCAGGAGGAAATCATCTCTTTGCTTCAACCATATTACTAAAAGTGGAGTTCAGTTCAGGTAATAAAACTCAGTGCTGAGATCGTCAGCACTGACTTCTCTCATTTTTCATAATTTAAAAATAACAATTTTATTAGAACTACAGGAGAATTGCCTCCCCTAAATCTGAATATAGTTCAAATAAAATGATTTTTAAAAACTAAATAGAAGAAGCTAACAAATTAGCAGGTAGCGTAGTATAATATTAACTTGTGGAATGCACTGTTATAAGATGCATTAGTGACAAATTGCTAAAAAAACCTGTAAAAAAATAGAAATGGAAAATAGTGATTACAAATCGGGTATTAGCCACAATTAGCTCCAAGATCATCTCCGAATTCCTATATGATCTTCCTTGTAAGTACTATATAGAAAAATCAAGCCTCTGGATGGCAACGGTTGGGAGCCTGTGGCCAGGAGCTCCTGGAGTCTTTTTCAGCTGAATAAATCCACCAACATTCTCCAAAAAGGCATAAGATACTCCTACTTTGTAACCTGCCGTGCCCCTCAGCTACACAGCAAGTGTCCAGCCTTCAGATTAGGCACAATGTGACAGCTATCCCAGACAGGGGGTAGTTTTGTATTATGAAGAGAGAACATTTGAAGTTATCTATTGGAATCCCAGGGATCTACTGCAGGTTCCATTCACGGAAATCCACATCCTAAGCAACACCAGCATTATATTTTTATTTAGAAAGGGAGCTAGAAAAATCACTTGTGCCAGCTCCTATCAACAGAGATGGGTGGGGAAGAGACAGTAATGTAAGCTCACATTTATCCCCGTATTCCAGCACTTTTGAGGCTGTGCTCTCCCACCGCAGATATCCCACACTTTATAACCTTCTGACCTTTTGTTACTGAAGTAATCAGATGCTATGATTAATTATCCAGGCGGATTATTTTAATTAATAGAGATGGCTTAAGGATAAAATGGAGAGGGAAAAAAGGGGGGGGGAAACCCCAGCTGTTTAAATTCTGTATCTGATTCTGCAAAGTGAAATTAAAAAGCCCCCTTGCTGTTATTGCAGCTATTTGTTGTGACCTAGACTAGAGAGCCCACACTTTGGTCCCATGAGGACTAGTGACCTGAACAATTTAACATACTGGAGAAATTAGAGTGCCAGTGGTTCACAGATCAACAAGTGGTGGAGGTGAGGAAAGCAGCATTTTCAAGAAACAGACAAATTGGAAGAGTGAAGCCCACAGCCATTGGCAACATTGATTCCACAGAAAGGAGCAGTGGATGGGCTGGGGGAGACAAAGGGGTGTATCCATGTGCTAAGACCCCATGCAGTTTCCTCTGGCTTTAACTTAGTAATATGAACTTAGGCAGTGTTTCTCAACCTTGACAATTTTAAGGCATGTGGACTTCAACTCCCAGAATTCCACAGCCAGCAATGCTGGCTGTGGAATTCTGGGAGTTGAAGTCCACATGCCTTAAAATTGTCAAGGTTGAGAAACACTGACTTAGGGAGTGTGGCTTGTACATCCTTGTTTCTGATTTAGTAGGATATTCTGATTTAGCAGGATATTCAGCAGGATATTCAGCTCCTATACAGCAAGTTGTGTGGGCGTGGCCTGTCTAAATTTGACAGCAAATGTTTTCCTCTGCTCTCAGCTATAAAGAGCCTAGAAATCAGGCTGTCCGAAAGAGCCTGTCACTTCGGTTCCCTTGTGAAAGTTAGGGCGCGAGACAGGAGACTGTAGGCATGTTTAATACATGTATTTTGGGGGTAACTTGAGATGGACCTCAAATCCTGGTCTGTCATACTGGATTTCCCAAGAATGTTTTCCCAAGAAAACAAAGATTGATTTTTTTTATCTCTGCTCTGCAGAGACCTCTTAACTGAGCAGGGCAACAGTATTACAGTTCCCACCAATATTGGCGTCTCTATAGCAAGCTCGGGGCTGTTGAAAAAACCAGTTTTTTTTTTTGAGCCTTGCGTCGACGTGTCTTCCTGAGCCTTCTGTGCCCATTTCCAACAGAGTCAACGCGGGGCTGGCCCTCTGTGCTTCCGACGCCAATAAGGTGCATATCGATAGGAACCTAGGGCGCATCGCGAGGCGCATTCTCACGCGGCACAACTCCCCTTGGTGAAAAAGCGCGGCGTCTCCTGGAGTGACGCCGCCCGAGAAAAATCGCCGAGCTGGTTCGGAGAAGAACCACTCACTCTCTGCTCAAAGTGGACGGCCCGAAAGCTTCATTTTTTTCCCCCCCAGCTAACCGAAACTAAACCAGACCCAGACCCAATCAATTCCCGTCTGTATTAATTCCTGGATGGTGCTGGAGAAGACTCCTGCGAGTCCCTTGGACTGCAAGGCGTTCAAACCGGTCAGTCCTAGAAGAGATCAACCCCGACTGCTCTTTAGAAGGCCAGATCCTGAAGTTGAAACTCAAATACTTTGGCCACCTAATGAGAAGGAAGGACTCACTGGAGAAGGGCCTAATGCTGGGAAAGATTGAGGGCAATAGAAGAAGGGGACGACAGAGAATGAGATGGCTGGATGGAGTCACTGAAGCAGTAGGTGTGAACTTAAATGGACTCCAGAAGATGGTAGAGGACAGGAAGACCTGGAGGAACGTTGTCCATGGGGTCGCGATGGGTCGGACACGACTTCGCAATTAACAACAACAAATTAATTCCTGGAGCGCGCGGGCTGCTCTCCTTGGCTGCGAATGAACGATCTTAAGATCAGCCAGGCGCGGGGATGGGGATCGCCTTTCGTTCGAATTCCAGAGCCGACCCTGGTAATGGAGATCGGACCGTTTCGATCTCCGAAACGCCATCAGTCGAGCCACAGCTTTTGCCCTCTATGTGTGTGTTTGTGTGTGTGTGTGTGTGTGTGTCTCAGCCGGAGGGGCGAGGGGCGGAAAGCGAATGGGCAGGTGGGGAGGGGATTTCGAAGAGTCGCTTCGCCTGACAGCCCGGAGCGGAGGGGAGGGAAAGGAGGAGCCACCCCGCAGCAGCGACTGCAGAAGAGGGGGGCAGCGGCGCGCCCAGGCAATCGGGCAGGTGTGGTGTGGCGAGGAAGGGGCCGGAGCAGCGACGTTTGCGCCGGGCAGGGAGAGCCGTTGCGGGGGGCGCGGAGCAGGGCAGCCGGGATGCAGAAACCCATGGAGAAATCCCAGAACTTCCGCATCGACGCCCTGCTGGCCGAGGACCCGGCGCGGCCGGTGCCCAGCGTCTCCCCGGAGAGCTCCGCCGGGAGTCCCGGCGCCTGCCTGCGGACCGAGACGCCCTCTCCCTGCGCGCCGCCGGGCTTGGCCCCTCTGCCCGCCGCCGCCGCCGCCGCCGCCGCCTTCATCCCCAAGCCCGGCTTGCTGAACCTGGCCCCGCCGGCACTCGGCGGCTTGCCGGCCATCTACCCGCCCCCGCTCTACCCCATCCCGGCTCTGGCGGGCCAGCACTCCGCCTTCGCCTACCCCGCCGCCTTCCCCCCGCTGTCGCAGCCGGGAGCCGAGCCTCTGAAGGCGGCCGCGGGAATCGGTCCTTTCCCGCTGGAGCATTGGATTCGGGCCGGGATCATGGCGCCCCGCTTCCCGGATTTCCACGGTAAGAGCCCAGGCAGGGCGGCCGTCCTGAAGGGAGCCAAAGGGCGCAAAGGCGGGGAGGGTTTGACGCCGACGATTCCCAAAGGGAGCGCCTTCTTATAGCCTGGGTCCGGGCAGCGCTCGCCTTCCCGGGCTTGTGTTGCCGAGAGCCCGGTTGCGTTGCTGCTCCCGGGGTTTCTGCTCCCGGGTTAAAAAAAAAAAAACCATCCCTGCAGAGCCAAGAGGGCCAGGAGAGCCCGGGAGGGGGGGGGGAAAGGGTGGCAGCGGTGGCTGACGGCTCCAGAGCCAAATGAAGGGGGAACGAAGGCCAACAGGTGGGAAGTAGCTTTGGCTCAGCCTTGAGCGCCCCAGGCCAGTGGTCCGCGGTCCGGTTGTCTCGGCCCCCGCTCCTTATTAGAGGAAGGGGAGGCGGCTTCTGCGGAGAATCGGGAGGCTTCGAGGTTCGAATCGTCGAACCGCTTGCAGGAATTCTCCCAATCTTGCAATCCTCAGAGGCCTCCGCGTGTTCCCGCTGAAGGGGGTGTGTTGGGGCGAAGGGGCGGGAGGAACAGGTGCTCGGCTTCTCTTCGGTTTGCTTTCCACGGGGAAAAAAAAAAAAAACGGATTTAATCGCCCAGGGATCCGCGACAAGCTCGCCGGGAGGCACTGCTTAACCCACCCGTCTCTTTGACCCCTCCCCACCCCCTGGTTTCTCTCAGCATCTCGCTGAGGAGCCCTAAATGTTTCTGTCAAGATCTTCCAGCTAGTGTTTCTCAACCTTGACCATTTTAAGGCATGTGGACTTCAACTCCCAGAATTCCACAGCCAGCAATGCTGGCTGTGGAATTCTGGGAGTTGAAGTCCACATGCCTTAAAATGGTCAAGGTTGAGAAACACTGAGCTAGTCGAACTGCAGCTTCTTCCCTCTCCTGCGCACGAACTGTAAGTCCCATAAATCTGGAAGTGCCACCAAGTTGGGTCGAGTTTACTGATGTCGTTCGCGCGCTGTATTTGGTTCCGGACACGTTTGTCTGTGATGCGTAAGGCTTTCCCTCGTGGGAAAGGCTGTCTTTTGAAGGGGGAGAGACCTAACTGATGGCACTCGGAAATCTAAACACACAAACCTAGGATTACCTCTCACATTGAGCTCCCTGGTACCGCTGGGCTCTTTGGGCTACAGAATAACTCCTCCTGTGTCAAACGGAGCTAATGTGAAGAAACTTCTGCGCCGCCTTCAGAAAAAAAATAACCCCTTCGGTTGCAGGTGAGCTGGCCGGGAGGGGGCTCCCTTCCTGCAGAGTTTGTAAGCGACGTCAGTTCTAGGTTTTCTCCCTGGAGAGAGGTGTGAATTGGGGTGGGCATCCAAGATCCAGTTCCGCGCCCCGGTGCTGGGAAAGGCCAGGGCTTATGAGCGATTGGTCTCCAGAAGCAGTTCCAGCTCTACTATTCCCCAACCATAGAAATCAAAGCTGCCAGGAAGGATTGTAGCTCAGCCTGCAATATGACCTGTCAGTTCCCATTCGCTCATTTCCAGCCCAGACGTAAGGATAACTTTACATCATCTATTGTTTGGTGAGAACCAGGCCATCCCACCTGGAATGTTAACCATAAGGGCGGAAGGATGGAGCGGGCTCTCCTTTCCTGGCTCTAAGAATGTTATGTGGAAGGAAAGACAGGTGAGATCCTGGCAGTGCAATAGGTACATAGGACCAGTAAATGTTCCTAGATAAATAATTGTTGTTAGTAGTGAAGTCGTGTCCTGTCCAACGTTCCTCCAGGCCTTCCTGTCCTCTATCATCTTTTGCAGTCCATTTAAGCTCACACCTACAGCTTCAGTGACTCCATCCAGCCACCTCATTCTCTGTCGTCCCCTTCTTCTATTGCCCTCAATCTTTCCCAGCATTAGGCTCTTCTCCAGTGAGTCCTTCCTTCTCATTAGGTGGCCAAAGTATTTGAGTTTCAACTTCAGGATCTGGCCTTCTAAAGAGCAGTCGGGGTTGATCTCTTCTAGGACTGACCGGTTTGAATGCCTTGCAGTCCAAGGGACTCGCAGGAGTCTTCTCCAGCACCATAGTTCAAAGGCCTCAATTCTTTGGCGCTCAGCCTTTCTTATGGTCCAACTTTCACAGCCATACATTGCAACTGGGAAACCCATGGCCTGGACTATACGCACTTTTGTTGGCAGGGTGATGTCTCTGCTTTTTAGTATGCTGTCTAGATTTGCCATAGCTTTCCTCCCCAGGAGCGTCTTTTAATTTCTTGGCTGCAGTCCCCATCTCCAGAAGCCTAGACTACAGCTCCCTTCATCCCCAACCGGTGTGGCTAACTTATTACACCAGCTTGAAGAAGGCTGGGCCAGGATGAGCCTCGAGTAGTCAGACCTGTTTCGAAGGCAGGAGGGAATGAAGGTTTAAGCCCCCCCACCCCGTTTCGTGGGGAGATCGGCCTCCGAAGAGAGCTTCCTTCACCCACCCACACCCCGCCTCATCCGGCAGAAAGGAGAAGGCAGTTCGAATCGGAAAGGGGGGGAAAGCTCTTTGGCTACTTTGGGAGACTCCGTTCGCTTGTTTCCAGCACAGTTACCGGGCCTGGTTCAACCGCGTCCCGTTAAATCGCCCCGAGACTTTGCTCTCGCTTGGAAGAACCGCACAGCTTAGCAGCAAGTGTGAACCCACCGCCATGGCTTAGTCAATCATGTTGAATAAAAAGACTGCTGTGTCGTGATGTAGGGACCGAGCCAAGATAGTCAACTTCGTATTTAGTTATGATCCTAGTTCAGCATGACGTGGGAGCCCACCGAGACGACCTGACTGGAAGCTCGCCTAGTCAACCACCCGGGGAACCGAGCGACAGCAGAGCCAGCCAGCCAGCCAGCCAGCCAGCCAGCCAGCCAGCCAGACAGACACACACACACACACACACACACACACACACACCGCCTCGCTCCCCCGCTGTCCCGAAGGCAGCTTTTCCCACATCAATCACCCGGCCCCGAGGCAGGGGAAGTTGTAAAAGGTTTTGAACTTTAATCCTCCCAAGGCCTCTCGGCGCTGGAGCCAAAGCGGGCGGGGGTGGTGCAATTAATTTGTTACCAGTTTGAGGAGAAGGGAGGTCTCGATCTTTGGGTCGTCTGGAAACACCCAGGAAGACTGCCATGGCACAAACCCAGGCAAGGTGCCTTTCGGAGGCTTCTGCGCATCTTCCTTGCACTAGTTGGGGGTGGGGAGGGGAAGTAGCGCTGGAGCAACTAAACGAAAAGAGGGGGAAATTTGGATTCCTTCTAGAAAGGACGGCAACATTAAGCTGCCCTTTGCCAAAACTTACCAAGGCTGCCTCTCCCCCTGCTGAAAATAGGAGCCTTCCCTACTGCTGAGCTCTCTAGGGCGGGTGGCTGCTTTATTGGTAGAACTTTGGGAAATTTGTGGCAGATGGACCGCCAATCGTGTCGGAGTCTAAATTATTCAGTTATAGTGTATGCAACATTCCTCCCCATCTCTCCTAAATAACACTGCTGTGAGAAGACTGGAGTGAGCTTTGCCTTCAATTCTGTCACCCGGAGCAATTTCTTCTGATTGGAGTGCTGTGCTGGTGTGTATGCTGTGTGTGTATGAGGGTATGGCATTTGTTGTACAAATCCAGATTCTCTCTCTCTCTCTCTCTCTCTCCCTCTCTCTCTCTCTCTCTCTCTCTCTCTCACACACACACACACACACACACAAATAGACAAACACACACACACAAACACACTAATGGCAAAAAGTGGAACTAGAAAGTTTTCAAGCCTGCTCACTTTTAGTAGCTGCTTAGCTGTCCACAGGCACTGCTGTAAAAGAATCCCATTATATGCAGCCTATTGGTTGGGAGGGAGCCTGCTGAGAATCGCACCTGAAACCTAAGCAAACCTTATACTCCCTAAGCCCAATCTGCAAGCGATTGCAAGCACGAAAATGTAGCTAAAGAACCCATTGTGTCATCTGTCCTCTTTCTCTTTCTCTCTCTGTCTCTTTATGTGAATCCAAATTGAACAGGTTTATTTTAAAAACTAAAACATTTCCCCTCCGACATTCCCCTGTCTAGAATAGGCATTAAATGCTTTTCATTCTCAGATACTTCAATTTAATCAATTTAACAGTTCACCAGGAACCCCGTTTTTAATGGTCACAATGGCCCATTCTAAAGTCTTTTTTTTTTTAAAGGAGCACTTTCTGCCATTTACTGTAAAAAGAAACAAGAGTTGTTTTAAATTCAGGAACTGCATTTGCTCTGCCGCCACCAACATACCCCACCGCCAGACTCTTCGGAGTCCCTGTCTCCGATCTAGACTACAACTCCACCATCTTCACTCACAGAAGTTGTAGCCCAACATGCCAGAAAAGGAGGAGGTTAAGGAAAATTATCCCGCGTTGTAATTTTAAAATATAATAATTTGGGCGAGTAATACAGGAACTGAGCTAGGCTTTCTATTTAGGGCTAACCGTTGAGCTGAGCCCGCGTCGTTCTTTCTCCCTTTCTTTACATGGGCTGTCTTGAGTGTTTTTGTTTCTGTAAAGTTTCTGACAAACGCTGACGAACGGTCATCTTTACCCTACACGCCTCACGCTTTCGTGAGATGCAAGTGGGCAGAGAAGCCCTGCGCGGACTCTCCTCCTTCTGCAACGCGACCCAATCAACGAATGGGCAGAAAGGTCGCCCTTCTTTCTCGAGCGACCCAGAGAATTTCCTTTAGGGTTCTCCTCGCCACATGCAGGCAGGAGTCCGGGAGCTGGAGGGCAGCCTGTGCCGCAACCCTCCAGGGAGCTCTTCAAACGTCTGAATCGGTCCGCGCTCTCCAGGGAAAAGGCCCTCTCCGATTCCATCAACACCTCTTTCCCAATGAAGCCCCAGAGCTCCATTCGTTTTCCGGGGTCCCAGAGTGCTAAAACTTAAAAGGGGAGGGGGGGGCAGGGGAGTTAGTTTATAGGGCGCTTTTATAGAGAACCAGGAATGTCCGGAGGAAGAGCCGTTCTGCACTCAGCCTCCGGA